GTCACAACCCATCCCATTCCCATAAATTGTCGGCGTGCACCACCCGGGGCCACCAACGCTTTTTTCGAGGGGGGGGGGGACTGGCTGAAAGCCCCGGCCGGTAGCTGGAGACGCTTTTTGTCTAGGATCTTTAGAAAGGGGCGGGGATGGGTATGCAAATGAGGGAGGACTGGTTAGCGGCTTGGAAATCGGGGTGTAGTAGGCAGAAAAACAGATTAGCACTTTATTGGGCGCGTCATTTTAACTCGAGCGTAGCTGTCGATACCTAGTCAAAGTAGCTGTCGATTTTCGCGTTTCCCAACCCCTTCAAAACCCGATCACCGTGTTTCATCGCGTAATGGGTCAAGCTAAAGCCGCCTCGCAAATATTCAACACCTAAAAAAGAGCCGCCAAGACTAATGATTTGACCCTGTCTCCTATTCTTCGTTTTTGAGATGAGAGCCCTGCCGCCCCGCAGGTTGATCACAATCTCCAGCCCGTTTATGGTTATTAATGGAGGGCGTCTCTCTCTCGCTCTCTCTCCCTCTCTCTCTCAATCTCTCTCTCTCTCTCCATTGAATAGAGTATGCCGACGGTAGGGGTTAATAATAGGCTGTCTCCTGCTGGGTTAGGACCTTCTTCCACACCGTTTATGGCCGGCGGTCACCACCTAGCTGATCGGAGCGGCGTCTAGGGCGTTTAGGGGTTTTTGGGTGATTTGCTTATGAAAGAAGTAGAATCTACCTCCTCCTCTATTGGGTCTCGAAAACTACTGGGATGCAAAATCCCCTTTGGGATGCGTAAATTCGGAGTGTTTTAAGGTGGTGCCTAGATCCTAGCTGTTCTTAGCTACGTGACTTTCCGAATGACAGTTTTCCAAAGCCGCTAAAAACATCGGCATTTCTCTTCTCGAAATTTGGGCATTATGCGTTTCAAATTTTTTACAAAAATCGTTTATGAGTGACACGTAACTGTCGATTTTCAGCCTTCCTGGCTACTTTAAGTGAAAAACAACCACCTAGGGGATGACCCCGGGGCCTGAAGGCGTATTTGCCAAAGATAAGACGCTAGAGCTACCGTTGGCCCTTATCAGCCCCCGAACTCACTCCCGCCGTGAGAATATGGCCCATTAAAGGGGCCACGAATCGAGGCCGGGCTTTGTTTATGGGCTGTGCGTCTCATTGGTGACTAATTGCCCACAACAGTCACCACGGGGGAGGGTTTGTTATTTTATGTCAATTAAGGGGGACAGGTGTGCTAGAGGGGGGAAGGGGGTTGACGTTGCGCAGCAGCACCTAGACGGAGACGGGCCCGGTGTCGCTGCTGCCCAAATAAGGGGGTTCCAAACGGGTAAATATGACCCTTCGCTAGAGACTCATTGTCTATTGTCACATCCGGGGGTGAAAAGTAGTAGTTTCGGTTTGTCGGGGTAAAGTTTGGGGTTGCTATGGTAAGAGGGCTGTAACGAAGCCTCGGCTAAGCCTAAGCCTAAGCAAAGCCCAAGGCTAAGCATAAGCATAAACCTAAGCTCAAGCCTAAGTCTAAACTTAGTTTTGTTAGCAATAACCACCATGAACAAAAGCTTAGAGTAAGCCTAGGGCTGTGCCCAGACTAAGCCTAAGCTAAGCCGATGTCTAGCTTTAAATCTATGCGTAAGCCAAGCCCAAGCTAAGTCTCTGCAAGTGCCTAAACCAAGCTACGAAGCCAACTTTGAAGCCCGTCAAGCCAAAATACCCCAATCACTGCGCGTCTCCCCCCCTCTAAACTTATTGGTCTCATTGCGGGCCGATGGTTGGGAGGAAGCCCTCTTGAGTAGCGACTTCCCACGATGCCTAACCACAGCCCCCCCCCCCTCAAATGCCCACCACCACCAAACCAATCCAAATCGCCTCATTAGCTGAAGGGAAGGCCCGAGAACCCCCCGGAATCCACAACGAAGCCACTCATTTCAAGGCGGGGGAAACCTGGAGTACAATGTACAAAGTTAAAGGGACCAGGAAGATGATAAATTACTGCCGAAAATGCGAAAATTTGGCAATATTAAAAGTAGGACAATTTGTAACTAATGTCGTTTTAAAATGTCCTGATTTACTCTCCTTGTCTTGAAGGTCATTGTCAAGCCTGTAAGTTGAATTCCAGTTATAAAACCGGTAGCTGAAATACCGGCATATCCAAATGTCAACAAGAGCAAAATCCTGCCAACCAAAATCCCGACGGCCAAAGCCAAACAGCCAAAATGCTGACATATTTTTCACGCTAGCGAGAAACACTTCATCTTAGCCTGCGTTTTCGCATATCGCTATTCTGGCTGTTGGAATTTGGACGTCGGGATTTTCGCAGTCGGGATTTTGGTTTTCCCCTTCAACTCCATATTTATTGATCCAAAACTCAATCGCATTGTTTAGCCAACCGGTTCCTGTTACCGTAAACAAATCCCCGCACCCGATACCCCGCGATTTATGAAACAGACAACCATTATCCCCACACACAGTAGAGACAATCGGATTTGCATTGACCGTCTGTGGTTGTTGACGCAGCTCGGTTTGCCCGATTGGTCGGGGTTGGGCCCCCGGTTTCCTTTTTGTTCGCGCACCCATTCAGAAGGCCCGGCCCGGGCGGCGGTGGGACCAATCGCAGCTGCCTTTATAAACTTTGGTGTCCTCTTTCACAGCGGGGCAATGGATATTTGATGGGGCAGCTGGTCCGCGCATCTTTTAGCAAAAAGCGGTGCAGGGGGGAATCGGCAGCTAAAAATATAGTTTTATAACGGCCTTTTCCCTGTAACGTTGCGTTGTTCTGCTTGAAACATACCATCGCGTAGTTACACGTCGACTACTAAGGTATCTAATCTCACCCCGAAATATCTTAATGTAAAATTATATTTTTACAAACCCAAAAATTTGTTAAAAATCGTCATAAATCAAGAATTTCTGGGCTAAAATCCCTTTTTATAATTTGGCTCTACGCGTTCGCCACTTCAAAAATCGAGGATAATGCCCAAAACGCTGTTTCACCCCCGTTTAAGCAACCTTTACTTACTCATCCGAAAACCACGTCACATTCCCTTGACTCAAAGAAGCGGTTTGGGGTTGATCCTTTCCTTTCGGGGAGCAAGATGATCCGCCACGTGGCCACTGACCGGAAGGAATTGCCCCCGCGCGTTCCTCCACGGCCATCCATTCCCGGATCATCGAAAGGGAATGCCGACACTCTCTTTCACACCCCCACAAACACATCCGTCCCAGGCTACTGGCACATCGGGGGTCAGCTAAAATCGAAAAATCTGAAGTGAAATACCCGAGGAAAACCTTGCAAATTCCAGATTCGCGGGCGCATCCAAACTCGGCCTCGACTCGCACACAATTCGCGTCCGCTACACGGAGAGCTTCAAATTCGTGTGCCCACCGGACGTTCAGCATAGTCTCGTCGTTTACCGAGTCGACGAGATGTCCTACATGAACTGTCTGCTGTCGAGCTCCAGCAAGGAAGAGCTCAGGTAATCAGAGGCCCTGTTCGTTGAAATTTTCGATATCCAAAATTTTACTGAAGGATGCTATTAAAAGTTTGCTACGATGTGACTATGGAAATCTGGACATGTAGGAGAAATTCGGATTCCTTCCCCCGAATACATAAGTCTTTACCCCAACCCCCAAATTTCAGGTGTACCCCCGGGGGCAGAGTGAGAAGCAAATTGCTCCGCACCATCAGCCCGATGCCCGGAGCGACGCATTACGAACCGGGCGCCAGCTACTATTACATCTGTAAGTTCGTCTGAAAAAAAGGGAAAAAGTGGAACCTTCCAGCCACCTCATCCGGAAAACACGACGGAATCGAGCAAAAATCGCACGGGCTTTGCCACTCTCAAAACCTGCGGTTGCGCGTCGACGTAGAGGAGAATGCGCCGACCCAAGCCAGCTCTCCAACAGAATCGACCGTGTATATCGGTAAGCCAAATTCGAAGGATATCATAAAACTATCAAAATCAACCTTTGTTGAGTAGCAAAATTGTTGTAGAACATCCTCGCGCACAGCCCTACAATCGAGCCGTCCGACCGAGCAGCATCGAGCCCACTTCTAGCGAGTCGGCCGAAGAGCGTCGAGCGCAAGACGGTAAGCCGCCTAAAACCAAGCACAAACCAACACCTTTCTAGTTCCATTCCGACGGCCCGCTTCAATCACTCCAGAGAAAATGCAGCAGGTCATCGAATGGGCCCAGCAAGGCGTCGAGGGCGACTTTCGTTTTGGCAATGAAGTGGTACGCTGCAACAAAAACTAAAGCCAAGAAATTATTGCCTGCTCTCTTCCCTTGACTATTCAGCTCGTTTCAGCCCGAACACACCTCCGGGATCGATCTGAATCGCCCTGATGGCGGCGCTGAAGCATATTACGTGGTCAATGAGGATGCAGGTTTGTCAAAAGACACGTTCACGAAACCGGAAATTCTAGCTCTCTACGCATCGAAGACGTCGGGAACTCGATTCTTAATGCCTTTGTTGCTATCAATTGTTCTGCTATGTCGGTAGCCCAGGTCGTCGTTCGTTTTAGTTAGTTCACAATTTCTGGTGATATCCCCCGCCACATCCTTTTTTTCTTTCCTTGTATGCCATCTCTATTTAGAGCCCGATTGATTTATTGGGACGTGTCCATCTTACTACGGTTTCTTTCTACGGGTCGCTTTGTCGCTACATTTTATTTTCCTAATGTTCGTTTTTTACATACGCTACTTTCCAATAATGGATACCTCGATATGTATATTTTTGTGAAATCTAAAAAAAAATAATGAGCAAAAAGTATTCAGCCCACAAACAAGGCAACACGAAACTAGAAAATTATAATTTATCAAGAATGATTGAGCCGCCTAGACCCCGTAAAGGCATAAAGCACTGGCAATGGTTGGGCAAAGGCACACAACGGTAGAAGAAAATGACCAGAAGTGATAGAATAGAAGCGGGCTGAGCACGGGGGTATTTTATCACAATATATCCAAATGAAAATTGGTACTAATCGACGACGGATTTTTACTCTTCCATGCGACGCGGCGATTCGGGCGGAACACTTGGCTCTCCGCTGCCCTAAACGATTCATAATATGTCAAACAAAGTGTCCATACGCCCTGATTTTTCGCGCCGCGGCCGAGCATCGTCAAAAACGTTTGTGAGCGGGGCGGGCGCGCGGGACTCTCGCGTGGAGTGATGGTCATCCTGGCGATATCGTGGCGAATGGTGGCGAGCCATGACTGGAAAACAGATTGAAGTAAAAGAAGGTTGATACTGACCAGTGGAACGTTCGTCTCCCAGGTACCGGCACGCGGAGGCTCCGAAACATCCATGGCGGATGGTGAGGCGGCACTGAAAAACGTACGTGCCTACTGAAATTTATCTTACGTTGTATTGGCTGATGGAGGGGGCATATTTGCCGTAGAAGTGGATGGACCAGAGTCTTGGCTCTAAACAGACCCATTGATAACCATTACAAAATCGTTTCATACCTGATTATCGGCATGGCGCATCTTCTTCGGGGCGCTGCCCGTGAAATGCTGGACAAGAGCGCTGAAAAGAAAAGAACCCTTGTCTCACGGAAAGCCCCTACGGTCTCATATCCGGTGTACGGAGCGTGCTGCGCGAATCCTGCGTGGTCAATCGCTGGAGATGCTCAAAGGCCACGTTGAGGATGGAGGTGATGTTGCTTTGATTGCCCTCGCCGAGCAAAGCCAGCCCTTCGCTTTGCAGGTACGTTCCGATCAGATCTTGGTAGCCACGAGGTCGACCGACCGCCGCGTCGCCCAATGCCATCATCTCTCGCAGGTATCGCTCGGTGCGGTTGGTCCCTCTTTCGGCAAACTGTGTGTCAGTCACTAAACGAAGAATTCACGCATCACCGCATGATATTTACCGGTTTGATCAAACAGGATCGTGAGCAGATCGCGCAGCGCGTAACGCTCCACCCGCACCGCCGTCTCGGCTACGTCCCATTGGACGTCAAGCTCCTAAATTGAGATTTGCAATTCAAAGCCTAATGAAATACCTCAAATGTATGCTGACCACCGCCTCGGTCCAAAATTGAGATGATGAGTTCTGGGGAAACGGCCATCCTTCCCGCTGCAGCATCAATGTCTTCGCGAGTTGGCCGCGAATTGTCGTCCAAATAGTTGACAGTGATGAACTGACGGAATTGACGACGAAGGCGGACGATTGGTTCCAAGCTAGAAATGTTACGAATAGCTTTGTGCTGAGACAAGATAGTCCTCCGCGGCCTTAGAAGAACTGAAAACGCACTTTCGGGAGAAAAGAGCGAGCAGATCAGGCATACTCATGTAGTCGGCAATGAGACGGTTCATGATCGCCATCAAACCTAAAATCCCAATTCAGATCTCAATAAAAATATTCCGACTTGTTCCTTCGCCCGCTGCGTCCGTGCTCGTATCAGGAAAAAGCTGACCAATAGGGACATTGCTAAAAACAAGAATATAATCGATCGACCTCCCATTAGAGCACCTGCGATTTGTGGTTGCCGTGAAAAGTCGCTGTATCATGTTTCGCGCATTCTCCGTCATTCCTTCGAAGTTTATTGGATTCTGGAAAGAAGACATCATGCATAGAAGAAAGTTTACCCCATTTGAAGGCGCATTCTGGGCTTGGCTGGGTTGTTGGGCAGGAGCCTGGAAGACCACTTGCGCCTCGATCACCGCGCCGATCTGCGTCCTACCAGCAGACACTACAAAACGGAATTACTGGTTTGAAGGAACACTGACAGCGGTGCGTCCTGTCGGCTTCATCGAGGAGCCCGATGACGGAGCGAAGGAGGGTGTTGAGGAAGGCGGAGAGTTGCTCATCATTCTCCGCGTACAAACGGCTGTTGCCGGTACGCATGATCTGAACGAGACCTTGTACAGCTGAACCATGTCAAAATTAACCTCCGTGGACTGGGCCAGTGCTTCCATAGGTGGAGCTGGGTCGTTGATCGGTTCCAAGCTAGTTCCAAGCTCTGCGACGAGGCTGTCGATGTGCTGGAAGTCTTCGGCGCCACATGTGTGTACAGAGGAACATGGCAGCAATGGGTCAGTGTTTCGGTCAGCGTGTCCGCGCTCAATGAACAGATTTCTCGGGATCCGCACACGATGCCGGTCCGAATCTAAATAAAATTGATCATTGAAAATTACCAGGGACAAACCAAAACTAGTCGAAGCGGTAGACGTGTCTCCAGTTTGCTCGGCTGTTTCAGTGCGAGCAGTCGCTTGTTGAGTCTCATCCTGATCGGGAGTGGATTGAGGAGGCATTTGGCGGCGGGACTTCGAACGGAGCAGCAGTACCAGATGTCAGCAAGCCTGCCCTCAGACCAAATGGGTCAAACTAAAAAGATATTGAAAACACATCGAGAAACGCCCACCACTGACTGTGCAGTATTTGTTGATGCCGAAACGCGAGCCCGATTTGCGCGAGACAGGACGGATGCAATTCGGCGAGTAACTAAAATTCCAAAAAACTCTGCGTAAAAAGGTGTATACGTTCGGCCACCTGAACGTGCTCTAAAAACTTCTTACGTGATTGCCCACGCAGTCGGGGAATGCCTCTGGCTCGACTAGGGTAGCCTCCCCTCATCACCATCCGAGGCCTTGGTGGGGCAGTATTGATGTTCTGGTTGTTTGCATTCGACGCTGCCATTGCCGGCTGTATCTGAGCGGCTTCGGGTCCAGCTACCAAATGGAACCATGGACCATCCGTTGCCGCGTTCGGATCAAGCCCCATTGGAGCACCCATCAGGAAAGATCCGGCTGCAGACCCATGTGTCGGTCGGTGCACCACAGGACGCTCTAAATACTGATCAAGGCTTGTAAAAATCGACACTCACGCAGCGCGTGGCCCTCGTGAGGAACGATACATACGTCAGCATAGTTGGTAAGTTGCAACGTCTGCACATAATTGTGAATGCCATCCAAGAAATACCTGGTCCATGTTTGGTGGAGGTAGGTAAATTTGCAGAACAATTTCACCCTCCGGCGCCGGACGCCTTCGACTAGGGGCGAGGACTGGTTGCAGTCGCCTTGGCAGGGGATCAGCGAAATTGACATTCAACTCAGAGAGCAGGTGGTAAAGATGGGAAAGCCGATGGGCAGCCCGCTGTGACAATTCCATGAAGCTCGACAGGACATTGGCCGTTGCGCTCGTCGTCAAAGTCTAAAAATATACTCAGCACGTAAAGATTGCATTGTGTACCTGTGGTGTGCCAATGTCATACGCGCCATGATGTTCAGTGACACGTCCCAATCTTTAAAAACGTCCTCAGATTCGAAAACGAACATTTACCTAGACAAGTGATCGGTCATCCGTGTGTTGATCAAATTGAGCCGCTGATAAACAGCAGTCAAATCGTCAGGCAGGGCGTGCCTAAATCAGATGGTGACAAAACACGACAATGGCGAACCTAACACGCTGCGGGTAGGCTGGCGGCCAGTCGCCCTGCTGCAGCCGGTCTAAGGGGGGCCGAGTGTAGTCGCCAGAATTTCCAGCGTCGGCCGGGTCCGGGTCGGCCACAGCGATACGCTCCGGGACATCGGAAACTGTAAAAAAAACCAATTTATCTCTTCTCTCGCTGACTAGCACTATAGAATTCAAATAACTGACTTCCCTCAACCAGCCGATCGGCAATGCGCATGGCTTCCACACCCACAGCCCGAATCCAAGCCGTCAAACGCAATTTGAGCAGACGTTGCTCTTCTTCGCTAACATCAAGGAAACGTCCACGCACCGCATCATCAACAATAACACCCATTCCTTCACGCTAAAATATAATTTTGCAGCGCCGAGCCTCGCCTCCTTCACCTCGGTCACTTCCAAGAAGCCCTCGACATGGGCAAGGTGTTCGTAGATCATGAGCAGCAGTTCCATTGCGGTTGAATCGTACTAGATAAGAATTAGTAACCCATTATATCTAGTTACCGTCGGCTCCGGAGGCCCCTCGAAAGTGACATGAAGGTGCGCCAGTGAACCATCGACTGCTTCGCGCTCCAGCCGGACTTCAAAGCGAATCCCGCTCTCTGTGGTGATCGTCTGCGCAACACGTGTCAAGATTTCCTAATAAAATACATTTACTTTTCTTTAAAAAACTCACGAAAAGTGTCGTTAAATCTCGCTCCGATTGTCCATAGATTAGTGGAATCATGTAGAGCAAGCGATTAAGATTCGTGTGCAGCTAAAAATAAAAATAAATTATTGTACAGACCCCCAAAACCCACCCGACCGACGTGACGGGCCGGCACCAGGCCGAGCTCGGGGGCATTCTCGGGAAGTTGGGGCCTTTCTTGAACGACGATGGGTCTGAAACCGGGTACGCGGGTAGCTACAACAATTACGTTCTCGTTCTGTTGACAAAGTGCATGCACATGCCATCTGTAATACCGGCCTCCGTCAGTCTCTGTACCGGGTTGTCCAGTGGACGACCCTAAAAATAGATTGGATCCACGTTAGGTAAGGAAAGGGGTTACCCCGAAAAGCAAGCGATGATCCTCGACGGCGCCGCCCATTTGTGCAGCGGCCCTCGCGAGCAAGTCACCCACCGTCGCGTCTTCGGCGACATCGAACTCAACTTCGCGATTGTCCAACGCTTTCACGCGGACTTTCATCTAAAAAAGTTGTTGAATCTTAGCTGATACACACACCACGATAGAAAAAGCCAGAAAATGGGGAGTCATACAGAAATCCATAAAAGAGCTCATGAAACTGGTACTAAGACCAATTAACGTTTGCATTATGAAGTAGGAACGACAATAATTGGGAAATACAAAAATCTACAGTCGTTGGGCTAGAAACTGTAAGTTTAACCAAACGACTGTTTACCTCTAAGAAAAATAATTATGTAGCTTATTCCCCAACTACGGTATCATCTGCGCGTTTAGCGCTACAATCTCAACGAGTATCCGCGCAAAAGAAACATGCTGTGCTAGACGGCCAAAACTATATAGCCGGCCGATCCCCGAATCGCTCCCGAATTTCCACTAAATGTCCCTTCGATACAATACGACTTATATAATTTTAATCACTGCAACATAAAATCATGGGTAGAGACATTGAAAAGACGGCACGGGCAAATGATGGACACAGTAACAGAACGGAACGGTATCCAGGAAGGGCACCAGACCATCGCTGGCCCTTCTTATCAATCAAAGCCTGGTCAGTAGCGGTCATTTCCCTTCTGCATCACTTCCCGGACCGCGATCATCTTCTTTTCAGAAGCCATGACAGCGCGCTTGTTTCGTACTGTTGGGAAGAAAATCGTCTGCGTCGGCCGCAACTACAAGGACCATGCGCTCGAGCTGGGAAATGCTATCCCAAAAAAACCAATGCTCTTCATGAAGGTTAGTCATTTGAGCGTCTTCAATGTTGCACCTACAGGCCACCAGCACCTATGTTGATGACGGCGGCTACGTCGTCACCCCCACCGGATGTACAAACTTGAATCAAGAAGTCGGAAACTGCATAAGCCTTCCTACACTTTTCCTTTCAGGTCGAGCTGGGCGTTGTAATTGGGAAGCAAGCCAAAAACGTTGATAAAGCTAATGCCATGGAATATGTCGGAGGTTATGCTGTTGCCCTCGATATGACCGCACGAGATTTCCAAGTACGAGAACGAAGCCCCGTCAATGCCTTTCTAGGACGAAGCTAAAAAATCTGGTTCGCCATGGTTCTTGGCAAAGTCTTTCGATACTTCCTGCCCGATCAGCGAATTCATCGAGAAAAGCGAAGTGAGAATGTCCCGAAGTTTGTAACAATTTCCAGATTCCCGACCCGCATGACATCGAGCTTTTCTGCAAAGTTAACGGGGAGACGAAGCAGCAATGCCAAACATCAGTAATGATTTTCGACATCCCAACGCTGATCGAATACACCTCGAAATACGTGACTTTGGAAGCCGGGGACCTGTTGCTTACCGGAACCCCCGCCGGTGTCTGTTCCGTCAAGCCGGGCGATACGATCGAATTTGGAATTACTGGAAAGGTAACAGAGATTTATAACGTTCTAATTAGGTTCAGGCGAACGCCAAGGTCACCATCAAATAGATGCCAATTGTGACTCTCATAGACTGGAATGTGCGAATAACAGTATAAAAATTTCATCCGGAATGGCGAAAACATACGCTTATCAAGACATCACACTGAATGAAAAACCGATCACTCGTTAGATTATTCATCTTCGCTTATTGTACTTTACACGTCGGGTGTCCGGCTTGAATCCACGTCCTTTGGCCAGCTCCTCCTCCGCAATGTCCGAATCTTCCTAAAAAAGGATCCATTAATACAGACACGAACCAAGCATAAATTAGCGGTGCTTCCAGGTTAACGGGAGGGGGGGGGTATTTTAGCGGCGGGCGGTTGCCAACTTTTCTTTGTTTAGTCTATACCTGTCTAGTGATAAATTGTAGTTTATTTTAATAGAGTTTTTAGTAGTTTCCGATAATAAAAAAGTATAAAAACATTTATTCTACAGTCACAAAATCTAGGGGCTTAGCTCGTTTTAACCATTTTCATAGACGTTAGACCGGAAAAAGCAGAAATTCTCACATGTTTTATGATGTTTTTTCTAAAATACTCCTTCTCCGCTAAGAGTCCAAAACCACTTGAAACGGCTTACGAGTCTTGAAAACGTTTAACTTTTAATTAGTCGACCTGCAAGACATTCTAGAAAAAAAGTTCGCAACCGCCCCCCGATAACCTGAAAGCACCCGAATTAGCTTATGTTTAGAGAACGAGATTATCTATTCCTTTGCTTGCCAGCCTAATACTCAGAAAAACATGCCTCAGATTCCTCCGACTCTTCCTCATCATCATCATCGTCGGATTCTTCTTCTGATTCAGAACCGCTCGACGGGAGATCAGCCTTGTCGTTTTTCACGTCCTCATCACCAGACAGATTTCCGACATCGGTGAACTCCACTTCGCCTTCTTCTTGCTCGTCGCCTTCATTTAATTTGGCGTTGTCCGGAAGTTCACCACACGCTTTTAGCTGCCGTGCCTCGTCAGGGTTGTATTTCAAGATGACATCGGACTTTCCGTCTTGAAAATCTCGCAATCCGAGCAAGATAATGTCACCCGTGTTGATCCATACCTTCTTTCGCAGCTTTCCTCGGATATGACAAAGGCGCTGTTTCCCGTCAAAACAAAATGACAAGAGACGACCATTTCCGAGCATCTTGATGACTTGCGCGTATTCTTGACCAGGCTCCTTACGCTGAAGCTCACGTTTCATCACATCGTTTTCATTCTTTCCGCGACGACGGTTCTTTCCTCCCTTTCCCTTATTCTTTGGCATTGCTCCTGAAAATTGAACGTTGCTTTCTGCGGCAAAAATATAAACCTAGAGGAGAGGAATGGGCGAATCAAATGTTTGTTCAAAATGTAGAACTAGCAGCTCCTATGAAAGAAACGCAAGATTGTTTTCCAGCGGCTAATATATCGTGATGCAATCGATGGGTCGAAAAGGCGCGAAAACCAAGCGTCCACTGGTGTACTACAGCGGAGTGAAAGGAACTGGCGGGCGCTAAAAGCGAGTCACTCCGGGCAAGGAAAACCCCCCGGGCGCTTCTTCGGGCGCGCTTTGCGGGCGCTTTGGCGCTTTTGTCCTCCCCCATAGGCCGTATAACATTGTCGTAATGCCATCAGATACGAGTGCTGTAAGCCGGTATTGTGTCGAGACATTTCATAGAGATCAACAAAACGTTTATCAACGAAAAACAAATTAACAAAAAGACAATCACTCGGATGGGATCTCGATATCTCCGCTGTTGATCTGGTCGATGACGTCATGTGGGTGTTGACCATCGATGGTGCATCCGACGGATTGAGCGGTTCCTAAAAGAATAAGGTAAGGAAGACAGGCTAAATTCGTACCCAAGATTTCCTTCACGGTTCCTTCAAGCTTCTTGGCCATGGATCGGGGGCGCATGATGCGAGCGATCTTGATGATCGTGTCGATCGTCAGATCACCGGAGTGCTTGACTAAAAAACGAGAATAGGAATCTCCAATCAAGAGATAGTAGCAGAAAAAATGTTACTACAGCGCGGACATCGAACGAAACTTATTGGCTTGCGTACTCCGGTTCTAGATTCCGAAGGCACAAAACAATAAGCGACATTCGCGATCAGAACTGGCTTAACAAAATCGTCAAAAATCCTCCTTACCAGCGATTCATAAGTTACCAGTCAAGAATTACAAAAGACTGGGGGATGGGAGCCAATCGTAGCAACCCGACCCTCATCATACACCAAACTCGTACCATTCTTGACCTTCTTGCGATCACGAGCTGGCTCTTTAAGCTCCTTGATGATCAGTGACGCGGCCGATGGAACGACGTCGATCTTGGCTTGCCTGTTCTGGATGGTGAGCTTGCAGGTGACCTTCAGGCCCTTCCAGTCTTGTGTGGCCTTGGCGATATCGTCTCCGACCTTTTTCGGGGACTAAAGAAAAAAAGGCTCTTGCAAGTAATGAAATAACTAACCAGACCGAGAGGTCCGACCTTCGGGGCGAGGGCTGAGGTGGCGCCAACTTCGCCTCCAACGCAACGGAGGTAGACTAAAGAAGAGGTTATTAGGTGTTAAACTACCAAATTCTAACCGATCTTGATCTCATTGGGGTCGAACTTGGGCGGCATGACGGAAACTGACTACCAACCAGGGAAGGCGGATGACAGGAAAATGAGACTGGTTGCCTCTATTTTCGTTCCTGGGGGGCTGCGCTGTGGGACCTTTTACTACGGTGTAATGGGCGGGAAATTCGAAAGGCAAGCCACAAACTACAAATTCCCTTAGACAAAGCAGCGCGTCAAACGACAGGCTAACAAGAAGATATTAATATTAAAAAATGTTCTAGATGTTTTACTTACCGTAGATGTTCTA